AGGGCCCAGGGGGCTCGGGGAGGGAAACCTGGGGCAGCTACAGAGGTGACCAGGCAGAGGGGACACTGCCCCACCAACACGCTGGTCCTCATCCTTGCCCAGCTCTGGGACGACGGTGCACGCCTGACATCCAGGGCAGGGCAGGAGAACACTGCCCCACCAACACGCTGGTCCTCGTCCTTGCCCAGCTCCGGGACGACGGTGCACACCTGACATCCAGGGCAGGGCAGGAGTCTCAGCCCCGTTTCTGCTGTTCCTTGCCCCCCAGCTGGGTGGAGGCTGCACGTGGGCAGAGTCCATGGTCCCTCCTAGTGCAAACCCCACCGGGGGACAGAGAGATGGCAGCAGGTTCCTGCGGTCGCTGGCAGGAGCTCGAGCATCGCCGCGGGGAGAGGGGACGGAGAGAGACCATTTCGGACAGAAACAACCTACCATCCTCGTTCACCAGTCACTAACCAAGGGAGGAGGGGAGAGAAAGTCCAGCTCGTGGGTTTTTGCTTCTCGTCAGTCTCCAGGCTGCAGCGCGAGGCAGTGGGAGCGCGAGGGACGCGCCGGCAGCGACAGGTCGTCGCACCGAGGAAACCCTTTTGCTTTGTGGAAGTGCCTTTAAAGAACAGGTTAACGCCGAAGGTCACCTTGGGGAGGTGGGAGCGTCGCTTGGCCTGAGGCCAGGAGGGTGGGAAGGGTTTGCCCCTCGGTGGGGAGGAGGAAGGAGTCCTTAGGACAAGTCTTCCACCGGCAGCTCCTCCTCCAGGTCCCTGTCGTCGGGGATCGTCACATTCTGGTTGGTGGTGGCCATCAGCGACACAGGTCTGCTGTCGTCCTCCGCCTCGGCTGGCTCCTCCTTCACGTGCACGGGATGGCTGGGGAGGGGGAAACCTTCAGCCTCGGGGAGTTGGTCCCACTGCCCACAACCCCACACAGCTCTCGGCCCGAAACTCTCCTCATCCAGGGGACAGGAGCCGTGGGAGGTGACCAACAGCTCCCAACGTGCCACCACCCTTAGCTCCAAACTCTCCAGCACCCCAGGACCCCCCAGCACCACCCTCACCCTGGCCAGGCTGACCTGTACTGCTGTGGGGACAGGCGTGGGCTGTTGCTGCCGTTGCTGTTGACCTGCTCCACGGTGCTGCTGACGTCGTCGTGGCCCACGTGCAGCATGGCGCTGGCTGAGCTGGTGTTGATCATGGTGGGGCTGTTCAGCCGGGGGAAGCTGCTC